TTAGTATTTTATTAATTGCAATGGACCAGTCCAAAATCCATCTTTCTCAATGGACCAGTCAATTTGCCAACCCTGGGTTGAATGAATGGGAAAAGCAGTGCGGGTATAGTGCAATCCTTATAGCAGCCAAGGCATGTAAATATACACACCGTGCTGAAAGGCTAATTCACTTGGAGCTGGAAAGCTCTAAAGTTGGATTAGCCCGATGCACAGGTTGTGATAAGGTACATAATGAATGGTTTAATGCCTCGAAAAAAGAAATTACCAATGTGATCAACAATTGGGTTAATTATATAAACGATGTATACGGAAAGGCTAGATTTTAACTTTGACAAATAATTTATTATAGATGGATTCATATAAAATTATATGTTAATTTAAATTCATATAAATTTACTGATTAAAAATAAAAATTCATTTACTTCTAGTTGAATTTTTCATCACAAGACTATTTTTGATTAATTTCAAAGAATTAATTCTATTTTAACATTAACTCAGTTTTCGCTTTCCGGACTGATGAAATTATGGAAGCAATATTCACGTCACTTTCGTAATTATTTATTGCTAATTGACAACATTGCATTGATTCGAATGTTTCTATTTTTTTCATTTAATAATTGTAAAAAATTTAAATCATATTGTTCTTCAATTGATTTATATATTTTAAATATTATTTATTGATAGTTGCGGTGATTATTGATTTGTCACTCGTCATTCTAGTTTTGTATTAAAATGGGTTTTATTATGGTCGGGTTTTTTTAACCATTAAAATTAAATAGTACATATAATAAATTCTTATTTAAATAAAGTTTTATTTTTAAGATTATAGGTTGTTCTTTGATAATATGTGATTTTGTTTACACTCATGGATTTATATTTTAACAATTGGAGAGAAGTTATTAGGAGAGTGATTTCAACCGAGTCTAACTATTACTCGTGTTACTGGGAGAAAATTTCAACAAAGTAATTAGTGATTTGGTCGAAATTTATTCCTAAATGTATTATTTATTACTTTATTTTGTATTACACATTTATATTATTATTTATTCATTTATTATTATATAGATTATTATAACTTGATTAATTAGGAAACGTTATTGTAGATTGTGTTTTTAAGACATTTTGTGTGTTAAAGAAGTATGTAAGCGACTGAAGTTCGTGCAGTTGTCAAAATAACTTTTCAACAAGTTTTAATAACTTTCGAGTTATAAAAACAAACCAATTAATAAAACAATAAAATATCTTTTATCACAAACCAAAATCATTCACTGATATCTTTTGTTTTGACAAATCCTTCTAAATTTCATTCAAGAAACAAATTAAACTCTTTAAAATTCGTTATCATCAATTATTAATTCGCTCTCCCACCATAAAAATAATCGGTGACACTTATATTTTTGGAGAAGGAATACTAGTGGTGATTGTAGAATTTTTTTCCCTATCAAAAAACAAGAAGAAAGTAATAAGTTAATAATAAACTGTTGTCATGTAGCAATTATTTCTCTGCTGATTTTTTTCTTTCTAGGTTTTTTAATGGTTCTGCATTAATATTCTTTTATTAGCTATGATTTCCCTCTCTTTCTGGTAAATTTCATAGGTATCCTTTCTTTTCTTAGATAAGCTTCCAGTGTCTGAGTATCATTTATTTTGAAAATGTAAGGAGCAATTTTTTCACCTTGTTCTTTCTTCAAAATACTTCTAATGGTGCTGTAATTCTTAGATTCCATTGTAGATCTTATGTAAATGAGTTTCATATTAACTATTTTTATATAGAGGTAATTCTATATATCACTTAAGATAACAAATGGGATATTATAAAACTGTTAGTTATGATCACATTACAAATGACTAAATTTTGATCCCTGAAATCCTTGGTTATACCAATGTTCACTTTGTCTGGTTTTGTTGCAGCATGCCTCATATAATAAAAATATATACTGTAATAAATATTTTTATTAACTGTTTGAAAAAAGTTTGGGACTTTTTCTAGGTCTTTTTCTAGGTCTTTTTCTGGGACCCTTTCTGGGACTTAAAGTCCCGGGACCGTTCAGGGCTGTTTAACATCTCTAAGTTTAATGAAAATTTCATTAAACTGGTTAAAAATTCGCAATTTGCGGCAATGGAAAAGATCGACATACGTAATTCTTTTTATACTAATATATACTAATACTAATACACAGATTACTTTCCGTTAGTCCCTGAGAATAACAAAATAACCACAATTATAGTGAATCGTCACGAAGACATACGCGACACCCCGAATCTAATATTATTTGTTATAATGCAATATCTTTTATATTTAACATTTTTGTTAATATTGTTATCATTATTATTATAATTATGACTATTAAATAATTATCGGAACCTTTTTAATTGTAGAAATTTAAATTGACAAAACGCCATACTTTAATTGTAAATCTTTGTTTCAGTAGATGAACTGAAGCCACATTCACATTATTGGCCAAATACAAGAGTATAGAGAGCAAAAGTGCAATACAATTAAATTGATTTGCTACCTATTGAGGTCTTGAAGCATTGTGGTAATTTAGTAAATTATAATTTATTATCATCATAATTATCATATTTGCTTTGATGTAATGTTACTAAGTCTATTATCATTATTATATTATATTTTTAACGGTTGAATTATAATGAACAGATATAAGAATTGTTCATTATTTAATTAAAAGAAATTTTATTAAATCAAATAACATACTAACATTTTATATATATATTACATTTTATTATTATAATTGTGCGATTTTGATTTGATTTTTGAACCCATATCCATGTATGGTCAATATTAATATTAATATTGGTTATTAATTTAAATATCGAGAATGAAATAAAGCAAATTTGTTTATTTTTTTCCTCGATGAATTCCAAATCATAATCACAATTATAATTATTTTTAAACAAATAAAAATATAACTGATAATAAATAAAAATGAGTCAATTAAACACCAAACACATTATTTCGATGTGGTTTGTCTCTGTAAAGTTGACTAATTGATAATAAATCAAAAAGTGATATTAATTATAGCTGCGCCTTAATTTGATAAAATCTTGCTCTAATTCAACATATTGTCGATTTATCATCACAATACAATCTTTAATCATTAACATACGATGAGAAATTCTCAATGTTAAAATATCATCTTCATTATTATTAATATTCTCACAATTCAAAGAAGGAAGATGATCATTATAAATTATAGGTTGTTGTTGTGATAAAATTTGAGTTGTCATCATCATCATGCTATCATTGTTGTCATTATTGTTTTGATTATATTGTCCACAGCTTTGAAATTGTTGATGAGCAGGATTTTGTTGATAAATGTGCTGAGCATAATTTTGGGATATTTGTTGTTGAATTTGTTGACCATGAATTTGTTGCTGGAGTTGTTGTTGACCCATGTTTTGTTGGAGAAAAAGATGTTGATCGTGATTAAAAAGAACCTGGTCGGAATTTTGTATTGGTGGGAGATCGAGATTTGGAAACTGTAGACTGTTATCTTTTTGATTTTGTTGTTGTTGATAATTAGGATGATTATAAGTCATGTTTTTTTTATTTTGCAACTAATTTTTTGAATTTATTTTTTTTTTTTATAATTTAAAAATGAAAATGAAAGGAAAACAGAAAAGTGAACCACCCATTTTATATTAGTTTTTATTTTATTATTATTATTATTTAATAATTGGCGTGAATACAAATCTTTTTATGTCATTGATTTTTTATAAATCTTATCTTTGAACGCACAACATCCCTTATTAGGAATACCATCCATGTAAACAACTAATAGAAATGGTCATTTTGAGATTTAAATTGTCATTGGTCTCCAAATCACAATGTCCGTTATATATTAAGGATGTTGTGTAATATAGTACTAAAATAATATTAAAAACGAACAAAACCAAATTCCGTTAATAATAATAATAAATGCCATTCATTACCCATGTCCAGAATGACTGGCCAATTATTATCTATTTTCTTGGAGGTTTACAACCCCAAAACATTTTTCAGAATTAAAAAGAAAACCGGGTCCTTATTAAAACACTATATACTAATAATAATAAACTTCCAAATTATTCGTTATACCAGGATTCACAATGATTATTCCGTCTATTATATATATTTAATATAAAAATTGGAACACAAAAAACTGGTAAGCACGTGATTTTACAAATTATTTTTGAAATATCAAAATAAGTGATTAAAATAATAAATAACGCACGTCCAAAACGAATTGGAGATTTAATTCAAGCCAGATGAATTGATGATTTTTGAACGTGTCCAAGCCAAAATGGCAGTGATTATCACGATTAATTACTTTGACATTTTTTTTCTGCTTAAATCATTAAATTGTTTGTTAATTTTAATAAAATGATTAATAAAAGAAAAATATTTATGTTTATTTATTAATTAATTATAATATAATATGGCTTTTTTTAATTTATTGTGATTAATTTATTATGTAATGATTGATGAATTATTTATTTTTTTCTTTCATCTAAAAAATTATAATTAACATCATCAATTAGATAGAAATGGCTCAAGTTGGCGGCGATAATGGTGATAATTATTGAGAACAAATTAGAACAAAGAGAACGGCAACAGCAACAAGAAAAAGAAGAACAAGAAGGCGGCGGGGGACAATGAAAACGACTAGAATCAGAAACTTATAGTCATCGAAAAAAAGTTACAATTATAGAAAAATTAAAACCAGTGATTTCTGAAACTAAACAAGTTATTGGTCATGCAGCACAAAAAAGCAAAAAGTCGCTACACACATCCTATATATTATGTGCAAAAAGCAACATCCTTCTTTTGGAAAAATTTTCCTCCTTTAAGTTGGTTTACTTATGGAGTGATAGCGTTAAATGCCATACATTTAACAATCCTATTGACATTTCTTTTTGTTACAACAAGTATTGTTGTGTTGATCATTGGTACCAGAATCTTTTTGGCCGAAGGATTTTTCATTGGTGTTGGATCATTTTTCTTTGTTCCTGTAATGATCATAATGATTTTTGCATCACGTGTTACTGCTTTTTTCATAGTTTTTTGCTGGAGTATTTACTCGATTATTAGGTATATATTACATACTTTTGATTTAATTGGAGAAGATAATACAACATCGTTATCTTTTGATACTCAACACATCCTTTCTAAAACTAGTAAAGTTCTTACAGGCAGTAAAGAAGGTGGTATTGGTGGGTGATGGAAGTAGAGGCAGGAAGAATTTAATTGAAGAAATAATAATTTTACTGTATTGACATACATGGGTTGCACAATATAATATAATATAATACAAATATATATAATATAGCAAACTTATAATTAAAATAGCTATTAATAAAATAAATTGTTAGTCTTTTTTTAACTTTGATTTTACAATGATAAGTTGGGAATTTTTATGATAAACATTTATTTCAAGAAATCTATAAGCCTTAAATAAATAATAACAATTAATCGATTAAACATAATTAATTGATTAATCAAAGATGACTTTTACTTACCTCTTCTGAATTTAAAAATTTATGAGGTTTTGATAATTTTGAATCTAAATTCCAAACTGTAGCATCCTCGAATAATAATTTGTTGGTGGCATATTCACCCCCATCACTAACATCATCTTCATCCACATCTCCATCTTCTTTATTATTATTATTAATGTTATCAAACATTGGTTTAATTGCAAACCAGTGATTGGATTTCCAAAAATAAAATTTAGTTTGCATAACATTTAATATCAATCCAAATAGTGTTTGGTCATTAAATTGTATTACTGTACGAATATCTTTTAACACATTAATAAATCAATTAATGATTATTTATCCTTTATATAATTATTAATCCCTTCTTTTTCTTTGTACCTTTTCTAGAATCAAACCATTGAGTTTCTAAACCATGTTCTTCTAAAGCTGCTTGCAACACGTTAACATCATAATTACCTAATCCACTTTAAAGATATAAATAAATAAATCAACATTTGTGATGTTGAATCAATTATACAATAAATTAATAATATATATATTTATTTATTACTTACAAAATACTTTTATGCTGATTAAAATATGAATTATAAATATTCTTTACATACTCAATATAACTATTGGAACTGCCATTAACTCCCGAATTTATTGAATCCTGTGCAAGTTTTATTGCAATTTCATCAAGTTTTGATCTTGTAAATAGTTGACATTGAAACTTTTTTTAAAAATGCAAAAAATTTATTTATTATTTATTTATTTATTTATTTATTTAGTAAAAAAATAAAAAAACAAGATTTTGAAATTAACTTACAAGATTGTTTAAAGTATGCTTATAACACATAAACAGTAATGGTAATAGTTAATTAATTGTTTAATTGATGTATACATTAATTAAACCTTATTCCTAAATTACCTTTCCACAAAGCCAAAATCTTTGTTTTTCATGGTAAATTTCACTATTGTTATTAACACAATCATACTTTTTGTCGTAATAGTTTTCATTTTTATTATTGTTATTACTATAATTATCAGTATTGGTAAAGGTTAAGGAGGGTGATAAAAATTCCTCAGCCATTAATAAACGTACAAGGGCAAAAGAATGAAAAAGAATGGCAAAAAAAAAAATAAAGCTGATCAATATTTTTTGAATTAATCAAACAATATAATATAAATACTTCCTATTTAAGAAAATTCTATTTCTGGTTTTGTTAGACGAATCAAAACCATTATCGATCGAATCAATTTATACATATCAATCTATCCATATTAATCATACAAAAGAAAAAAAATTACTATGATAATCCTTTGTTCATAAAGACGGATATCAATTTGAATAAATTGGTATTGTTTGCAACAAAAAAAATCGAGAGGTTAGCAACAGATCGTGGAAATAAAGACGTCGCACGAATGTAAAAAAGATTCAAACGAGAATGTTTTTATTGAATGGACGACTCCATTGAACGATTTCCAAGATATTAGATATTTGGCTAAAGGTGGATTCGATGAAGCCCATTAGTAAATCGGATTAATTTTTGTCACAACTTTAATATGTACAAGTCCGGTGGCAAACTTGTACATCACATCAAGGGGATGATGTCTCTTCTAATTAATGTTCCATCACCTTTTGCAGTAATTGAAGCAAGTTTTACATTATCAACGGTATTACTCTTACCCCTTTTAACAATTAATTAGTCATTATGAAAAATTGGTAGTCGAAACTGCCAAAACGGTAAATGCAAATATAACTATATTTCCAAAAAGTTCGTCAATTAAAATGAATTATGGATAAATGCTAGTTAAAAACTATATTATTGAAAAACTGTTTTTATTATAGAACGGAATGATCACAACTCCAAAAGTAAAACGCGAATGATAAATGTGGTTATTTATTTATATAGATACACATTGAGGAAATTAAAATGAAAAAATTTCGGATGAAACCGAACGAATTAATTTATTTATTATTATTACCGTATGAAAGAATCCTTATTTTCTTCGATTTAAGGTCCAAATTTAAAAATGAACTTTTTTAGATAATTATGAAAATAGTTGATTCTATATTTTGCTAAGGTTTGCGCTTTCATATAATCAATCCATTTCGTTTGTTATTGATTTTTGTAACACCAAGAGACCCTCAAAGGGAAATGCTTCAAGAAGATTAACATGTGAAAATGTTAAATTTAAGTTTAATAATTATAAATAAGCCAAATACCGTCTATTTTATGAGCTTCGTAGATCGTTGTCTATTATAAAAGGAATCATTATCTTAAAAAATTTTTAACGTTTCCTATATACAATTTTTTGTTAATATTTTTAATAATAATAAAAAAAGCTATAATAAAATATTTAAATAAAAAAGGCAATAATAAGAGTTAAGATTATTTTTATGGGAAAATAAAATACGTAATAATAATGTAATTTGGCAAATTTGGTGTAACAACGTGAATATTTATATAAAAATTTTTGTTTTAAAATTATTTTTACAATCAAAACAAAAAAACCAAAAAAAATCAAAATAGAAATATTTATTGTAAATTTAAATAAATAGTCGCTTAGAAACATGGTAATGTACATTTCCATATATCTATTTATTCTTTTTTTGAAAAATTTTTTGGAAATATTAACTAATTTCTTTGGTATTTTTTAAAATGGTAACACGTTTTGTTTTGGCTCTTTGTTTCTTTTAAATATATTCTGATTATTTAAAACATATCATATCGTATTTGTCAATGTATATATGCACGTGTATTTCTCTATGCATCTCTCCTTTATTATAGTCAGCTATTGAAAACATTTCACCAGTTATCATCAAAAGAATATCCAAGGAGTTGAACGTTCTTGTCGCACAGCCTCCAGAAGGAATTAGAGTTATCATTAATGAGCTGGATGTTTGTGATATTCAAGCTTGGATATTAGGGCCTGGTTAGTTAACCGACTAGTTTAATTTCAAATGACCTTTTTTTCTCTTTGTAAAATGATGGTGATGAATGATATTGATCTTTTCTACTTTCTTTTGAAAATATGTAGAGGGAACACCTTACGAAGAAGGAATGTTTAAGATTAAAGTGGTATTAGGCACCGATTTTCCATCAGTACCTCCAAAATGTAACCAATCAATCAATTAATTAATCAATCAATAAATACAAAAATAATGATTTACTAACCATTATTATTATTATTATTATCGCTATGAACATCAAATCAACAACAGGCCATTTCATAACCAAAATCTTTCATCCAAATGTTTCAAAATCTGGTGAAGTTTGTGTAAATACACTAAAAAAAGATTGGAACAAAGATTTTGGGATTGAGAGGATTTTACTGGTAATAAATAATTATTATTAGATATATATAACGTATATAAATGTATTAACATTCATTATTCCACACGCTTCTTACGCGCATACGTACATATTTGAAGACTGTAAAATGTCTCTTGATTTTTCCTAATCCGGAATCTGCGCTTAACGAAGAAGCTGGTAAATTACTTTTAGAAGAATACGAAGAGTATGCTAAACATGCTAACATGATGACAAAAATTCATGCACAAAACAAAATATCGGAATTTTTTACAAATAATAATCATAACAGCAATAGTCATAATAACGACAGTAATAATAGTAATAATACTGCATCAAACAATACTAGTAGTAGTAGTAACAATAATAATAATAATAATAACAACAACAACAATAATAATAACGCCATCACCGCCACAACTATCAGCAGTACTATGATAACTTCCACCACATCATCATCACCTACATCAACAATACACACACCAAATTGTTCTTCTTCATCTTCAAAGAAATTCATCTCGCCATCATCATCGTCGTCGTCGTCGTCACCGCCATCACCACCATCTACTACTATACCAACTACTTCTACGAATATTGCACAAACTAAAACGTCTGCACCAAATACTAACAATAATACCAATAACAATAACAACAATAATCCGATGATGATCACAACGCCACTTGCTCCGTCTCAATCAATCAACGAATCAAAAAAATCTCATCCAAACATAAAAAAGAATCCTACGGCTTCCATCTCATCCGATAATTTAAATCACACAAATGTAACACCAAAGAAACGTGTTGCCTCTAGTGATAAGAAATTAGATAAGAAGCAAGCCGATAAAAAAAGAAGCATGAAAAGACTTTAATAGGAAGAAATATCAATAACAATTATTATTATTATATTATACAGCATTATTGATTAGGCTTTTAAATAAAAAACATGCAAAAAAATACACAAAAAAATATATATATACAAAACAAATATAGATATAGATTTATTTTTTTGTTTTTTGTTTTTTTTTTTAGTTTATCTTTAGTTTTATTTTCTTTAGAAAAAGTATTGTGTTAGTATTAATTACTATTACTCACCATACCTTCATCCTCATACAAACCATAACATCATCATATTATTTGTTTGATCTATTGCAAAAATAAAAAACCTTTCCGTAAAGTTCAAATTGCCATCTTCTCTTTCCTTGGTCTAAATTTCCATCCTTTAATTCATAATTCAATTATTAAGATTAGTTTATATTTCTCTCCCTTTATTTTATTTTATTTTTTTTTTTTTTGACGCGCAAAAACAATTTTATTATTTTGAATTTTTATGATGGTAAATATATAGATATACTAAATACGACAATAATGACTTTTGATTTTTGTAGTATAAGAATTATTGTTACAAAAAAATAAATAAGTATATTTATATACATTTTATTTTATTTTCTATAAAACAATATGGATTTTTTTAGAGTGTTGTATATAAATAAAAGATATCTCAACTTTGTTCTCTAAAATTTACAGTATAAACTGACTGATACGTGTAAATTTGATCTCTTAATGTTTATTCCCAATTATATGGAAAAAAATACAAGACGTGCGTGAGCCATTCTATCTAACATATGGATAAGAAGCTACATTTCCAGTAGAGTTCCGCATTAATACCTCCTACTACTTACCATCAGAATTTATAATGGAAGAAGCGATGCAAGAGCAAGCTATTTCTTAGAAGGATATAATCGGAAATTTATCTGGGCAAAGGACCAGAATAACTTTGTTTGTTTCACGTTCATTAGCTAACTATGACTGCGATATCAAAAATGATCCAAGAGACGAATTTCAGAAAATAGCAGCTCTACGACGATTATCCGGAGAAACTGTCGACGGAGCTCAATAATGGAGAATGTTGATCTTTCTTAATTAGAGATGGGCAAATGTGCGAGGACCTCGGACAATCATATTTGAACTGGTATGTAAGAAAACATAAAAATTTGTGAAAAATACTCTGAATGTCTTACTAAAAATGGCTAGCGAGTTTCCTTTTTGGGCCTTTTTTTTTTAAAAACCCAATTTTTATTACGAGATCACTACCCACTTTTCTCAATACCAGTTCAATTATAATTGTCCGAGGTCCTAATGTGCGTATACAGTCAAAGAATTTTAAACTAGTACAAATTTAGAAAGTATCTTCAGAAATATTGTATTTGATTGGATATTTCTTAAGATACTTTCTAGTACGTATAGAAGTGTTGAAATTTGATTGGATGATTTGCAAAATGTAAATACAAAACTGAAAATTACAATAAACACGAACATTAAATCTTTATTTAATTTATTCAACTTGCACTTTTTATCTTTTTATATTAAAGATTTGATTTATATATTTAATGAATTATTAATTATATTGAATGAATTAAATATCATAAAAATCAAAACTTTTTCACTTCTATTTGATTCTTTAATAAAATTTTCGTGTATTTCATCAGCTTCTTCATCAATTTCTCAATTACGTTGTAATTTATCTGTTTACTAGTATTTGAAGCATCAAAATGTTCTCCAAAATAATTTCTTTTAGTTTGAATTGTAGCATTTGACAAAGGCGTAAATGGTTTTCACATATAAATACTGAACCAGTACATTGATATTTTTGCAATATAGACATTCAAAACGTAATTACTTATAACATTAACATTATCAATATGTTTAAAATTGCACTTTAGCAAGTCATGATAAGTTTAAAATATATATCGTATAACGTGAGATTTAATTTTTACGTGTAACATCATTTGGTAATAACCTAAACAGGTCAATTTTAACGATCAGCAAAGCAAAAACAGTCAATCGACCAACTTTTAAAGAAGATTTTACAAAAACTACAAGGACAACAACCGGATTTTTATTTATAGATTAATCGGCTGAATCTCAAAGATCATTTTCATATTAGAAAGTAATGCCCTCAGAAAAAAATTTTTACATCAGAAAAATTTTATCGGCTATCAATAGCTGATTAACCGTTTAAGGGATACGTGTAGTACTTATCTGCTCATCCCTATTTTTAATATTAATATTGTTACGCGATAGCGTTATCATTTTTGTGCATTACTTAGAAATATACTGTATTACTAGGGTCGATAAAGTCGACTAAGACGACAAAGCACAATAATAATAGACTTAGTCGATGACATCGTCAAAATAGACCTCTAATTATAAAACATGTATATAAACAGCTCGAATTCAATGTACTTTGAGAATAAGTTTTCTTGAAGATAATCAAATCATGCCCAAAAATATTCGTTAATAAAAATACCCGATCATCGCAATCTATTGTTTATATTGCTCTCCCAAAAATCAACCAATAAAAAATGGCGTTAGTATGGTTATTTGAAATATTGGCTAATATTACAATTGTGGCACTTGTCTGTTTGTGATGCTAATAAAAACTAGCTAATAATAATAATTTATTATTACGATCCAATCACCTCCCAATTTACCGTCTTGTTTGTTTAACGTATAGTTCCATAAGTTATACTAAAGATATTGTTTTGGCTTAAAACTAATTTTCCCTTCCCAGGTTTCCTAATTTTACAGCAGTCAGCTTTTTTGGAAACAGCGGATGGACCCAACCAAATATCTCCGCCCCCAATCTCCACCTCAGTTTTCGTTTCAACTTGAAAATAATACGATTGTAGTATATGCACTATTACTATCTAATTAAATGATTTTTTCTGTCAGTTCTATTTTTCCCTTTGTAGTCAGTCCTTGTAGTGATAATAATAATATTAGTAGCAGAAGCAATTGACGTTTTTTATTTAGTCAATTAATAATAATAGTTGTAGTAATTGGCTTTTTCCCTTGAAATGATAATAATAATAATAATTTAAATTTTTTTATGCTAGCAAATAGTCATTGTAGAGTTTCTATTCGAAGAAAAATTTTGTTGTTATTCATTATGAATTTTGAGTATTCGAATCGCACTGAATGTTTATTCGAATAAAATGGATCAAACGAATAATTCGAATAAAAGGGATAATTCGAGTTAAGATTGAATTGTATTACGAATAAAATGAATGAATAAAACGATAATTCGAATAAGGATTATATTACGAATAGAACCTCTATCATAAGTCCCACTCAAAAGGAAAAAGTAAAGATTACAACTTGTAATACCAAGATTGATAATTAACCATTAAAATTAGTGGAACGGGTGCCAACCTCAATTTTTAATGGGAAATATATCGAATACGGATAATCGGTGGATAATCAGCAGATAATAATAATTGGGTATTTACTGATTAAAGAATTTTTAGGTGGTGCCGATCTCTATGCATTGGGAAATTGGTTTTTCAGGGAATTTAATTCGTTCTTTCATCTTGATCAGAATAGTCTGATTAATAATACGAGAAAAAAAACAAGTAAGAGAAAAACTGGCCATTAATAATTTGTTATGTTGTAATATCATGAATTTAGAATTTATATTTATTAATGTACGTGTGTATTTTCCCAATAAAATAAAAAACATATTTTTTAATAAATCTTCTTAATGCTTAGAATGTTTCATTCTTACGAATTCTGTCCAGTGTTTGTTCTTCAGCTCCAGGATTCCAAATATCATATATATAATGATCAATGAATATCTCTTTCAACTCCTCAATCTCTTTCAAATCCTCTTTAGTTGGAGACCAGGTAATGTTATTTAATTTTTCATAGAAATAAATATTTTTCGCACATTCTCTATCCATGTGAGTCCTCAATCCAAAAACTCCCAATCTGTTTACACAGTGCCGTTTCTCTCTTGCTACAAAATATGTTAATATTGCTTGATCTTGTCGATGGTTTTCTCTATTACTGCCTTTTGGAGCAATACATTCTTTTACTAGAGCACATTCTACCCAATTATTTATTAAATTTCCTACTCTATTCGAATCTAATGCTATTGCTGCCCCATTACAATTTACAAAATCTGAATATTTTTTTGGATCATCATTAAAATATTTGAAAACGCCTGGATGTGTCCATTTTAACATTTTACCAGATGATCTAGGTGAAAAGAAACCATCGTAATAATCCAAAATGAGATTAAATCGTTTCAAAAATTCCGACTTTACATAAGTTCCTGAGTCGAGCCAAAATATTGGCCCAGGATAATCTTTAATAACCTCGGATATTATACCAGCCTTCCATGCATATTCTCCTCTAGTCACGTTATCTACTTTCCAAAATCCCGGATACTTTTCAAAATCAAATTCCCTGAATTCATTTAAATATCCCTTCTCGAGTAAGACTCTTGACCATTTTTTCTGATAATTCGCCAATCCAATGTCGTAAACTAAAATCCTGGGTCGTTTAGATGCTGGCATCGAGTCAACTGTCCCTTTCATATAGTAAAGCCAACTTTGTATTTCACAAAAATGATTGGAACTTGCTGCCGTTACTATTGTAAAGGGATGTTTCTTTTGGTTATATACTGCTTGGTCATGATTGTAACTAAACCTAAAAATTTGCTCTTTTGTCACTAATCGACCTATATATTAATATATATAAAAACAGTTAAAATATTTATTTCGTTAATACTTTTTCTAATAAAGTTTTTGCAAACCTATTGATCTAAGTTTAAAAGAGATATATGATATGTTGTATGTTACGATAATTATTACTACAAGAAAGAGTATTATTATTTTAAGTTGGGTTGAGATTCGTCTCCATTTCATTTTTTCTTTTAATTTTTTGAATTTCAACAGCTAGAAGATATATAAATAAATGGTAGTGAGCGTGATCTACGCGTTCTAACCAAATTTGAAAATATAAAGAAAATTTGTTTGATCTCATTTTTGATAGTAACTTCAAACCACTAAGGCTTTTTTTATTATTAAAAAAAAACTCTATTTCATTGTTGCTTAGGTTCCAAATTATTAATGAAAAAAAGTCTTGGCTGAGTATACATCAGGGTGCGAATGTGTGATCAAAAAATATCGGGGAATGCCCCGGTTTGGGAAAATTTTATTGGAAATCTTCAAAAAATATTGGACCAAAATAATTTTCTTAAATAGTATGATTTCTATTCGAATAAGGTTTTACTCGAATTACATTTAAATAATATATTCACATTGCTAATCCAATCCAATTAAAAAAATTTTATCAATCTATTTTCCTTCATAGTCCTTGTATAATAATACATAGGGTAGCAGAAATAATTGACCATTTTATTTAAGTAATAGTAATGGTATCCAATAACAGTAGTAATATAGATTACAATTATTGTAATTTTACAATAACAACAATAACAACATAGAATTTGTTGCATCAAGTTGTGAATTGATATTTTATATTTTTTAAACGAATAAAACGAATAAAAGATATAATTCGAATAAAATGAAATAATAATAATAATAATAATAATCATAATAATAATAATAATAATAATAATAATAATAATAATAATAATAATAATAATAATAATAATAATAATAATAATAATAACAATAATGATGATGATGATTCGAAGAAACTGTATTAGAAATATACTTGCTGGCCAAACTCAAAAAGGCCAAGTCCCAAATAATCCGCAAAAAACATCCGCAAATCGCCAAATCAATTTCTAAATAAGGTAACACACACCCAACCCACCAATAAAATTGGATATTTTCATGATGCTGCGCAAATTGGCGGATGTTTTTTGCGAAAAAATACATAATTTTAAGTCCCAATCCCAAATTCCAAATCCCATGCCCAAAACCCAATGTCAAAAATGGTACAAATCCCACAGACATCCCAAATCCCAAAACTCAAAATGCCAATAGTACTATATACAGTTCACACTGTCTATAACGGATCATTGGGACCAGGAAATTTATCCGTTATAGAGAGAATCTGGTATAAAAAAATTGTACTACATTAAGTCGTGTGGAATAAAAAAATTTTAAAAACAGTAATAGTGATTTTTATTAACATTAAGGGAAAGTATTTCCGTTTTAGTTTTTAAATACACATTCTGTGATTTCTGCACCATTCCACCATTTGATTGCATTAATATTTTACTGTCTTATCTAAATATCTATCAATTTCATCCAAATGTTTATTAATGTTTGAGTTATTGTGTTTTTGTATTCTAAGCATTGCATTAAAAAGTAATCTTGCTGTAATGATTTAGATTCATCATTAAGATTTTGAGCACCTTGAACTTCTGATTGGTTTCATTTAAAGAAATACTTTCAAGTAATATTCCTTTTTTACTTCCTCCTCATAAATTATTTATTTTTTATTATGGGTTTGAGAACTACAGTATTTAAAGATGATGGATGGATTTGATGATAATGTTTCTAGGTTTAGAGTAGGACTACAAATATAACAATCATAATTGTTGTGCCCTTCTAATTCTGGATCAATAGGCATGGTTTTTGATAAGTGAAATAAGTGAGTTGATCTGATAAATAAAAGGAAAATCATATTTATCTCTAGTTCAGGGTTTATTTGGCTAATTAATTGATTTTTCTGCAAAAATAATACAGAAACCTACCCTATTAAAGCTGTATTGACTTCAAAGAAAGTTAATCAAAGTCTTCTATGCTGTTAATGAATTGAATGGAATTGGTGTGTCCAGAGTCACATTGCCATATTTTCTGTTTAATAATATTTTCAAGGAAGACAAATTATGATCAACACTTGAGTTAACATTTACAAATTGAAGCTGACTACCATCTGACATTTCAATGAATATAAATTTATTATTTTTAATTAATTATGACAAAACCATTTAGTCAGGTATCATATAATCATGACATTATGACATCATCAATGATGCGTTTTTGACATTTAACATTAGTAATTGTCAATTAGTAATCCTATTTTATTTTTATTTTATTGGACAAAAAGTCATGTTATTTGTAATACTTCAAGAAGTATAAATATGTCTGAAATCTCCTTCGGTGAAAAAAATTGATCTTTCAATAATAACACTTTTGTAATAAAAATAACACTTTCATTAATTAATAATCTGGCATTATTGATTGATTCATAACCCTTTCTGATGATTAATGGTTTGGCCAACATTTAATTATTAGTTAGGGACCCCTTTTATTAGTTTTACTATATTGCACCTCAGGTATTGTAGCTGTATATGGTGATTTTAGTTTAGTTTAGTTTGAACATTATTATGCTAGATTTGATGACTCTGCAATACAGTCAGGTATTTTACTCAATATGGAATTGATTCTGGAAAAATTCAAACCCCCTCATCTATCAATTCATCTATGTTGCAAATGAGTTTACGTGATGCTTCCATAATACTGCAATAGAGTAGAGTTTCTATTCGTAATACAAATTTTTGTTTGAATTATTCAAATCATTCATTTGTTTGAATTATTCAAACCATTCTTTTATTCGAATTATTATCATCATTCATTTATTATTCAAATTATCATCATTCATTTATTTGAATTTTTACCATTCATTTATTATTCGAATTATTTTCATTTGTTTATTCAAATTGTTATCATTCATAATTATATTCACAGACCTGGACACTTTACCAACATTCACTTTACCGACAGGACACTTTACCAACAATCAATCATTGTGTTAACAATTTGCCAAGGACTGTGTGAAGACCTGGATAACTAGCTAAAAGTTTGGTTTTTTACAGACAAGT